TGAAAACCACCCTTGCCCCTAATTCTCACCTTGTCTGCACTTCGCTTTCTCTGTTGAAACCTAAACATCTTCCATTTGACCTCTAATTGAATTTTATGAAATCCGCACATTCTTTCTTCTTTCTTCATTTTAGATATTTATTTTGAATATGTTGCGATGATAAAATATTTGCCATTTTTTTCTGTAATTTATAATAAACAGGCGAAGAGCAGCAAAGCGAATGTGTAACTATGCACTGCAAACCCTGGCTGTCAATATGGAAATATGTTTCTGCCCAAATTTAGCCTGTAGCAAAGATGTTAAAAAATCTGGCTGGGTTACACATTTTGAACAACTATAACCACCAAAAGTGGAAATGTTGTATCATGTAGATTCATTACACACAGAGTGACATATTCCAGGCTTTCATTTCTGCTTCTTTTAAAAATAATGACTTGCAGTTCATCAAAACATGTAATACAGTTTCTAAGAAAATGAATGAAAATATTACATAAAACCAATATAATTTCTTTTTAGACAAGTCACTGAAAAGGACGTGAGCTGCATTGCTCTGTCTAGGTGTAATGGAAGCCCAGATTACCTTAATCATAGCCCTCAGGTCATCTGCATTGTTTGGCCTCGTGTTGATCATCTTTCTCTCAACAATACTTCATAGTTTCTGAGATCAGGACGAACCAGTTTGCTAGCCAATAAATCACATGAATATCACGGTCAGACAGCATGTGGGCGAGTCCCAAATCCTGCTGGAGAAAGAAATCGGCTTCTCTGGTTTGTCAGCAGAATGAATTGTTCTGAGAGGATCCTCTGAGTCCCTGTCCAGTTTCCCTCCCTCTTGTGATGCTTCTGACATTCTCTCTGGTTCAGGAGAGCTTTAACACGAGGAATATAACAGTTGTAGCATGGATAAATCTGCTGAAGTGCCTCTCGAAGCTCTGCCCACCTCAGTCCACCTCTTGTGTCTTTCTCTTTCTCTCAAACTGGAGAGGGTTATTTGCTTCACAATCCTCTCTCAAGGGTGTGCTCAGCATTTTTCCTTCCGCTCAACTTTCCTTTAAGATGCTTGCTGAAAACAACTTTTTTAGCTATTTAATTTTTTTCTTTACGTTGACTGGACAACTGTCAGCTCAGCAGTTTGTTGTCCATAGCAACATATTCTATTACATACCATGGTAGGGCTTCTGTAATATTCTAATTGTTTATAAGAATTTATAAGAAAAAACCGATATAACTCTGTGTTTAAAGTATGAGCTTCACTTATTAAATTGGATCGCTGAAACAAACTAGACGGTAATCTAATTTGTTTCTGCGAAACTTTCTTTTCTGACTCTTTGTTTGTGACCCTCACTGTCTTCAGGCCAAAGCCAAAGCTAAGGAGAAGACGTATGAGTTCAGAAGAGAGGCTCCCAGAGGAATCCAGGTGTCCTATCCCATCCCGGAGCCCGTCGTCACGCCGAGGGCCCGTGAGGGTTTACGGGCAGTGGTCCCCACCATCTTCCCGCCGAGCGCGGTCAACAGAGGGGAAAGCGTCCCGATTCGACCCCCGGAGCCGGAGAGGAGGCCCAGGCCCGCTCCGCTGAAAGCTCTCCTGGACCAGGAGTCCACGCGGTCCCCCAAAAAGCGAGGTCGCAAGCCGAAGCTACACCCGCATTATGATCCGCACGACGCCAGCGGCTCCTCGGAGCCAGCCCCGAAGCGGAGCAGGTCACTGGAGGAGCAGTCCGTCATGTCCCGACGCCTGCATCATCACGGAGAGACTTCGGATCACGGCCTCCTGCAGCTGACCAAGAGGTTTCAGGAGGAGACCACGATCACGCCGAAATCCAGCGGCGAGCAGAAACACGCAGGGCTGTCGTACGCGTGCGCCTTCAGCCCAGGCGTGCGTAAAAGGGATCCGGAGGGACACAGGACTTACAGTTTGAGCAGGCTGCATTTTCCTCAGCACGGGAAGCTGCAGCGCAACGCAGAGGAGCGGAGGCACCAAGCCGCTGTGCTGTCCTCAGAGGCCGACCCGACCGCGCCGTCAGCCCCGACCTGGACCCCCTGTTTTACCAACTGGGACACTGTGACGGTGACGGACGTCACCATGAACCTGTTGACTGTGACCATCAGAGAGAGCAGCACCGCTAAAGGCTTTTTCAGAGATAAAAGATGAGTATTTTCATGTCGTAGTTCACCGTGGAATATTAACGCGCAACTAACCAACAAACAGGCCTACTGTAAGACTATATCTTTTCTATGTAACTTTCAAACGTGTACATACAGATATTTAATACGCTGCTGGAGAAAATAAAAAGAAACATGTATTGTACGACGAAGACGTGTTGTTCGTTTTGACCTTTTTTTTGACAGTATATAGTAGTTTTAACAAGTAAATTTGAACTAGAACTAACGCACATAGACCGGTCATGCTTGAAGCAGTGATTCAATAAACAGAAAAATATATATATATATATATATATATATATATATATATATATATATATATATAGTTAAGGCTCGACGTTGTTTTTAAATCTGTTCTTTAAAGAAAAATAAAAACCATATCACGAATTATAGAGACTGTTTTGGACTAAAATAGCAAAGTGATCTTTCAGAGACAGATTTTCTGGAGTCAAGGTCTCGACAGATCTATGCATCACTTTCAAGAACCATGGCAAGCTGATATGTCTTTTTTTATTATTCAAATCATTTTTAGGTCTAAAATAATCCACTAATTTTACCCTCGGTAATTTAATATTTTAGGCAGGTCCATGTAGAGGTCCGACTTAAGTCTTATAGAGAATCTGTGGAGAAAAGATTGGGGTGATGGCAAAGATGCCTTCCAAACTCAAAGTCCTAGAGCTCTACACCAAAGATAAATCATCCAACTATCAATGGAGACAAGCAAACAGCTGGCCGACAGTTATAAGGTTTTTGTTTCAATTCCTGAGCAGGGTATAAACAGTAGATAGATAGATAGATAGATAGATAGATAGATAGATAGATAGATAGATAGATAGATAGATAGATAGATAGATAGATAGATAGATAGATAGGAATGTAACAGCAACATCAGAAATTAAAGATGAAATAAACTTTTTAGCAACCTTATGAGATTTTTTCCTAGTGTTCTTTTATCGACACTTAAGATTTTACTACCAACCCTGAGCCCTAAGGCATAAATAACGCTTTCGTCTTTCATTTAGAAAATACTTTCCGACAGTCAGACTTTCTTGTGGAACTTTATGTTCTTTTATTGAGAGTTGCAGCGTTTCAAAAAAAAAAAAAAATTAGGGTAAATTTATTGACGCAGAGGTGTGGAATCTGCGCATGCACATCGCGACGCATATAAGGTCGGCAGAATAAAATAATTTAATTTAGTTTAATTGAATTACAGAGTCGCTGCTGATTACATTTTAAGCTTTAAAACAGATTATTGCACCGAAAGCAATTCTCAGGACTCCAAAGGTCAGACGTGGCTGTAAAGACAACAGCAGTTGTACGACATCTTCAAATGAAACAGACTGAATTATGATAATATGTGATAGTTTGAAAACCCAGTGAACCATCGTGTATTGTTCGCCTGAGGAAGCCCTGACCTCGCGACTTGGATAAACGAGATTTTTTTTCAGCGTTCTTCTTCTTCTTTAAATGCATCAAATTATCTTTGAAGGGAAGCTTCGGGTTGACGTTCTGCAGAGATCGGAGGGATTTTCCATTAATGCCATGCATCACCTTGATCCATTAGGCCTGTTGCAGCAGCCAGGCGTCTCTGTGACTCTGGGCACAAAGCCGCCATTCATTTGACTTTGCTTTCTCTCTGCACAATCCTGGATAATCACTCTAACCAGTTTATTTTTCTGTCGCTTTCTACCTGTTCTTTATAACTTCACTTAAATGTGACAACACTAAATAATAATAATAAACCTAACAGTATTAACTTTAACTCTCAATAAACCTAACAGCTGATCCGGTGAACCGGTGAATATGATCAGATTCCTGCGTGTTTTCATTACTATGACACGCAGAGTTCAGCGCAGAAACATGACATGAACCCTGAAACCTTCATCAGGTTTTTTTTTTCTCTCCTCCCTAAAGCCTCTAAGCCCCGTAACAGTTTTCACGACCTGTTACGCGCCACTGGGTTTAACCTCCACAAGATGTCGCCATGCACCACTAAGAACTTGAAAGATGGCCAAGCTTTTTGTGTGTACGTGTGTGTGCAGGAAAAAAAAAAAAAAGGCAGCAGGTTAAAACGAAGTGGAGCTGCTGGTCCTGGCTGGATTAATCATTGATGAAAGCTGGTAACTAATTCCACACGGCTCTGCAGGTACAAAATTGCAGCCCGATGAGTTACAGCCCTCCTCCTCTTCCTCCTCTTCCTCCAATTCGTCCTTCTCTTTAGGCCACCTTTCCAGATGTGAGCAAATGCCTGTGCGTCTCTATGTCACTAGGTGGAAAATAAACGCAACCACGCACCACTCCATGCTGCCTATGTGTGCTCTCATAATTGACGTTGTTTAATTAATGGGTTTTATTTTTGTTATCATGCGGCTGCAATGAAACTGCCCATAAATAAATAAATTTTATGGTGAGAACAATTTGAGTTTTTGCCTTCTCTCCTGTTGCAGCCTGTGTGCCCATATAGTCGCACTTAACTCTGAAAACTCCGTTTTATAAGCAGACCTTAAACAGTTTCGGGAGTTTAAAGAACCTGAATGGACACTTCGGGACTAGTCTAAAAGTAAGATAATGGACCTCTTCGGCTGAGTGAATGCTGCTGCAGAAAAGCGCACTGCTCTCAACAGATGGCTGAAGCCTTTTCAAACTGACCGGGTCTTAAGAGAGGCAAAGACAAAAGGCTGCAGAGGCCAGCAGCCCCCACAACAACTGGATCGGGACTAATTGGATCCTGAGAGAGAGAGAGAGAGAGAGAGAGAGAGAGAGAGAGAGAGAGAGAGAGAGAGAGAACAGCACTCTGCTTGTCCTCTCAGTTCGCTCTTCAGGTTTCTCTCGCCGACTTTCAAGCCATGCTCCACTGTCGGCCTCTCGGGGTGGATTTCTCTGGAGATGTTGCCAGCTGTGATCGTTCTCGCCTGTCTGCCTGTCCTGGCTCTTCATTGTGCAGCTGATTTGTGCAACTGGACTGGAAGGTGAGCAGCTTCTCAGATTTAAGGTGGGAACAGAAAAAATATCTATATCTATCTATATATGTATATATAAAGCTCTCTCTATATATGTGTATATGGATAGAGATAAATATCTATCTATCTATCTATCTATCTATCTATCTATCTATCTATCTATCTATCTATCTATATATATATATATATATATATATATATATATATATATATATATATATATATATATATATATATATATATAAATATATAGACTGTTTCAGTTTGGAAAAAAAGGTCAAATAGCAACATAAACAGAAAAGTAAAGAAACCCTACACTTTGGATAGTTGTACAACAAAAGAAAACTACGAGTCTGTTTAATGATTGTAACAGTTGAGTGTGTTGTTTTAACGTTTCACAGTCGTTGTTGGGAATAAGTTATTTCTACTTATATGTTTTACTGCAACTACTAGCTGTTATATTTTGTCAGTGGGTAGTTTTTGAAACCTTTTCCCGCAAAAACCTTTTTAAAAAAAAAAAAAAAAAAAAAAGCTGCTCAAACCCTTTCATTTGTATGCAGCGGTTTTCCAGCTGGCGTTGACCGCAGGGTCGTCCTCCAGGTGCGGCTTCGCTGCACGGAAGGTCTCGTGAGCTGGGTCTACCCGGGTCAGGCTCTCAGAGTGGCGCTCGAGCCCAATTTGTCGTCCATCCGGTACAACAGGGTCTGCATCCAACCGTCTCCGTCCCTCAGCGGAGCCAGCGTTTTCATTGAGCGGGCCGGAGAGCTGGAGCTGCTGGAGACGGAGGACGGCGGGCGCACCGGGCGGCAGGTGTTTTGTTTTCGGGCGGATGGGCCGCACAGTCCGGTCATCTACCTACAGGCAGGTACCGGCCCGCAGAGTCCAGGAACGTGGATCAGACGCACAGTCGGCTTCAGATATGAGTTGCTGCGCAACAGGAGCGTCTACGGTGGCTTGGAGCGTGAGTGTCGACACTTTTCTTTGAGTTAAACAGATTTAATTCGGTGTTGCTATTTGAACACGACTTTACGAGTAGCTTATTGGTCAATAAAAAAAATTGTAAAGAAAGAAACAAAAAAGAAAAAGAAAGAAGGAAAGTGTTTTGTCAGTAACACAATTATCACACCTTTCATTTTTGTAAGGACGGTTTCTAACGTAAATTAAACGTAACCGATGGATGAGCTTAGTGTAATAATGTTACTTCTCGTTGTAAGAAGTTGAACAGGCGATCAGGTTAGGACAGATAAATCTAAATAAACTACATTTTTTAACCCATGTTGAGAAGTTTTATGTTCGCTTAGTATTAGTATTAACCCTTTTTGCAAAACAAATAAATAAATACATACAATTAAAACAAATAAATGAACAAGTGGGTTAAAATATCCCAATCTTGTTATAAACATAAATAAATGGTAATTTTCCCCCTAATAATAATAGTCTTCAAAGTACACTTTTAATTCAAGAAAAATAGATTTACAACTAGTTTTTTAAGTTCATTAAAAAAAACTCAATCAAATTGAAATGTGGAGCCACACAAGCAAAATAAAACAAAAATAAAAAAGCATTTAAACTCTGATTCTAAGTCATTTTAAGTCCTTAAAGTAAAGTAAATGACAAGTTAGTTTGCATGTCAAATACTAAAAATGAGACTTTAAATAAGTTTTGAAGGTGGGAAATGGGACCCAAAAGGACCAAACATCTGCTGACCTGACCCCAGTGACTTCTCAAATCTAATATCTATATTTGATATAAAGTTTAAAAGAAACACATGAAAGGGACATTTTAACCAAAAAATACAGAGTTGCTGAAAACAGTTTCAACCAGGAAGTTATTGCAAATAGACCACAATATACTTTGCTTATTTGTTCTCCATCAGAAGCTGCATCACTTTAGATACTTTTTTTATTTGACAGCATAAAGCCAAGAATTTTGGCATAAATATTTGGGTGTCTCCCTGCACTAAACGTGCATAATGAAAAGTTATAAAGTTTTAAAAGTCCAGGAGGAAAATCTGGATATCTTTTCTTCCTATATAGGTTCCTTCCAGCTCGTTCTTGGGAGATGTTCCGAGGCAAGAATGAACATTTAATTTATTTAATATCTGGTCAGCCTTGGTGTCTCTTCTACCAGAGGTATGTGTTTGGAAAACCTCCAACTGAGGATGCCCAAGCAGTCGATCAGATGTTTATCAGAGTCTTTTCTATGCAGAGAATAATCTTTCACTTCAAGCTCCATGCAGTGAAGTAATTTCAGCTGTTGGATCCATGTCTCAGGACGATGGTCAGGCAGAAAGTAGACCAACAAGACCTTTGGTGTTTCGCCTTCACCAAAAAGACAAGCTGCAGAATCCAAAACAAAGAGAGAAGCGGGCTCAAAAGCAATCAAAAACACATGATTATATATTAAAACCAGGCACAAAAATAGTGCTAATTTAACAGAGCCGAGTCGTGCTGAGAGGAACGTGCAGCTGCTGGTCATTCTGGTGTTTTGTCTGGTTGTCTGGTTTCCATCAGGACACAAAGCAGAGAGGATGCAGCAGACCACAGGGTGGCCGGAGGGCACCAGGCCAGCAGGCCTTCATTCAGCACAAAAATACTTTGCAGATTCCACAAATGCCTCATCATTGTGCCTGTCTGTTTATTAGCATTTATCCAAGTGTGCGGGCCATTCCAGGCATGCTGATGTCACCCCGGGCCCTTTATAGACAGCTGCCTGTTTATCTTTTCTGTATTAGCAGGCCAGCAGAGAGTTTGACTCCTGCAGTCCTCTGCTTCGGCTCGAGGTCATTCAATTAGGTCTGCACAAAAGAAGTCAAACACGGGGTCAGTGCTAGCGTAGGGTTTATATGTGGAGGTGATGCTGTAGGCGGAGCTCAAACGCAGGAGCAAATGGCATTCCACTAACTAAACCATGGAGCTTGGAGATGAATGGAGATGGTGTGCAGGTCAGGGAATAGCTGACAGGCTACTCTCAATCAATATCAGGCATAATGGGTAAAGGCATTTCAGAGGGAAGGAGCGATGCATTGATTGAAAGTGGAAAAATGAGTCAGAAAACAGCTTCTACTGACACGTTGTGCCCATTCTGTCCACCCACAGCTTCATGCCGACCCTGCAACGACACAGAATTGCTCATGGCTGTTTGCAGCAGTGACTTTGGTGAGTACATGCAGGATTTGACACAAAGTGACCCACGTCTGTTTGGGGAGCCACTCACAAATCAAAGCGTTTCACTTTGTTCACAATGAAGCTGAAGAAATAAGTATATTTCATTACTATAGCCAGGCAGACAATAAATGAATGATTTTGGGGAGTTTAATTCAGAGTTGAAATATTTAACTTAAAACAGAATGCAGCAGATTTCCCCAGAATGCTGATAGTTAAAAATACAGATAAAGTTGCAACACTTTTTTTTTGTTGCAACCCACCACAGAAATAAACTGTAGCAGCTCAGCAAAGTTTTGGGAACTGAAAACACCAACTGCTGAAGTTTTACAAGTGGTTCCCCTTTATTGACATACTGTATTTTAACGGCAGAAGATGACAAACTATTATTTTTTTACTTCTATTTGCCACAGCATACTGACAGTCACACTCCATGAGTTTGTAAAAATAATACTGAAAACAAAAATCTTGTATTGCAACAGCATAATCTCATAATCTTATATCAGATTTGAGTATATTCATTAAGTAGGGAAAATAAATCCTAAACTACAGAATTACTGTCACAATCATGCATATAGATCCCAGAATCCTTTGCTGGTGAGTTTGACAAACTCCTCCTCTTATTCATGAGCAACGTCATGTTTCTACCAGTCACATTGGGCCACACCTCCTAGTGGCCAAAGGAAGGATGGAAAACAGAAGGAGGGCAAGAAGCTGAATATTTGTTCACGATGGTAAAGCACAGAGCTGTTAGCGTTGTGTTTGGAGGAAACGTATCTATTATCCAATTTGAGCATCATTCTTAAAACACATTCAGTTTTTCAGCATGCACATTAGTAAAAACAGGCACTTTTTTGGACAAAACTCCAACCACTCAATGTCAGCAAAGTGATTCCTTGGTATGTGTAGAATGTGCCACAGCAGGCATTAGTGGTATATCTATACTGTCTTGGATGAGTGGTGTTTTGAGGTGCATTTGCTATGAATGTCTACAACTGTCCTGCTAGAAAAGGGGATCTTATACAAACAATAGTGGTGCCTGTGATGTTTTAAAAAATTTTTTTTTTTTTTTAAGGATGTATTTTTAATTTTTTTGCAGTGGTTCGGGGCTACATCAAGAATGTCTTCCATGACTCTAGAAGGCAGTCATCACTAGTGGAGGTGTTGACAACAAAGGTTTACTGGCAGCGTAGTGGAATGTTTGAGCAACAAATGCGTCCACACATGTCCCCTCAGTCCTGGCATGGACACATCCGGACACTCCTGCAGTGCCATGTAAAGCCTGGTGACGGACAGTTCCTCTTCACAGGCTCAGAGCATTTTGGGGAAGCTTGGTTAGGGTGCGCCCCGCGCTACAAAGACTTCCTCTCTGTCTACCACAAGGCCAGGATGGGACGAAGGACTTCCTGCGACTTCCCTCTGGACTGAAGAGGTGTGTGGCTTTTGAAGCCAAATGGACTCTGTAATGGCGCTGCGGGAACCTTGTAAAGCTGTCATGTGCCAACAAGGTGGCATCAAGGTTCAGCAGCGGGGGCAAAACTGCTGAAGTACTGCTGAGAAACACATGTGGAGGAGAAGAACAGCAGGGCCTCCTGAAATGGGGCTCAGAAAGTGGCCGCCTTTGTCTGTCTCCAATCACCGCCTTTAGTCCTGGGAGACTTACGAGGGGTTGGGTTGCTGCTCTCTTTTGAAGCTCTCCTCGCATTAGCTGTTGTTCATTTTGTGGTCTCTGTGCGAACGGTGCTCTATGATCTGAGGTGGGAGGGAAGACGAAGGTGGGCTATTTGTCCTCACAGCTTGGCTTTGTGACTCTAGGCCCGTACACACATATGCCTGTAGAAGTTTATGTTGTATTGCCTCACATCTGTCTGTAGTTTCATTTGTTTCCAAACTGGCAATAGAATTAAAAGTTACTGATATTCGCACTTTTTGTTTTTATTTTTAATTTTCTTTTTCGTTTGTACTGTTTTCCACATTTTGTCAAATAACAACTTCAGTGTGTTTTAGTTCATTTATTGTGACACAGACCAACATAAAGCAATGCACGATGATAAAACAGGAGGTTTAGACATGCATGTATATCCAGTCCATTCGTCAACTTTGTGGAAATACTTTTTGCTGCAGTCCTTTTGCTCTTATGCTTCAATCAACTTTCCACCTCTGGTGACTGACATTTATTTTCCTATTATTCTTTCTAAAATCACTCAAGCTCTGTCAGACAGGATGGAGAGCATCTCTAAACAGTGATTTTAGTCAAAGTTTAAGTCTAAACTTTGACTAGACCATCATAACACATGAACATTTTTGATCTAAATAGCATCATCTTATTTCTCAGCATGTCAGCACCTCCTCCAGAGTCACCACAGGTCCAGGGTTTCTACTTGGGTTAATGCTCTACTTAATTGGTCTGTTGGTCTTGATAGGATTTCTTTTCATTTCAAAGTAATTTGTGAGATGTTGAAAGCTTGGGACATTGTTTTATAGCCTGACTCTGTTTTAAACATCTCCCCAAGCTTTATACCCAACATGACTGCTGTGTTATTTGGTCTTTATGATGCTTTTAGCTCACCATTGTACCCCAACAAACCTCTGTATCCTTCACACAGCAGAGTAGCATTCACAATGAAATTAAATTGCATACAGGTGAAGTTCATTTAGTAATTTGGTGATTTCTGCCTTGGATTTTAGTTTGGGGTACCAGAATGAAGGTGGTTTACAGGTTTATTGCTGCAATGTGAGAAAATGTGTAAAATATATCAAAATATTAATACTTTTTAAAGTCTTGTATGTTTATACAGTGTGTTCTTTTTTTACATGTTAGATGAATATAGTTTAATTCTTTCCTGAGGAAAGAAATAATAATTAAAAAGGTACTTTAATGTGTTCAATTTGTAACTTTTTACTGCTATCTTTAATTAAACCACCTACAAACATTGAAATGTGTATTTGTGATTATTAAATTATAAAGTAATAAAGCTGAAATTTCCATTGCAATCATTCATTCAGAATCCCCCAGATCAACAAATTAAACCCTATAGCTCCTCTTTCTTTGTGTAAATGTTTTCTCCTCAGAATCTCCACCTTCTCTCCTCATCCGGTTTTTGAGGAGAAAGGGATTTCCTGCAGAACCGCTCAACACGTCCCCTTTCCTACATGATAACACTATTACGATAAGTTTTGAAGAGTATTCCCAGATCACCACAAGTAAGAGTCCGAATCAGAATCAGAACTTTCCTTTTAGTTTTTCTTCTTGACTCAAGAAGACAAAAAGACAGATGTGAGGCCCCTCAAATCCCAGGGATCCCCCCCACCTGTCCCCACCCAGCCAAGAGAGAACAATTAATTGATTTTTAAAGCAACTGCTTTCTGAGCTCTTCCACGCTTCTCTCCCAGGCTGGGCTGAGCTCACAAATTGGTGTGCTAAACGTTTTATGAGGACTAAATAGCAGCCAATGAAAAGTGTAAATGACTGAGCGGTGAATGACGAGCGCACAATGGCCCTGTGGTGACAAGGCCTCTAGCAGACATAACAACCGTTGTTGCAGCTGCGGTCAAAGAAAAAGGCCATCGGGGCTCCAAAGTCAAAGAAAGAAAGAGGATGGAACGGGGTTAACGCCAGCAACAATATTTCTCCCTGTTGTTTTTGTTTTCATTTTTACTTTGTTGAATTGTGTTTTTAAAGGTGTTACTGGTTGTAGTGGCCTTTGTTTGAGAGTGGTCAGATAGGAAAGTGGGTGATGAGAAAGGGGAAAGATAAGCAGCAAAGGTCATCAAACCTGACTGCCATGTCAAGGAGTAAGGCCTCCATGCATGGGTGGAGCTTTAGCCCTGTGCCACTGCAGGACCTCAAATTATTTCTCTTTTCAGGTTCAATAAACATGCATCAGGTGCTGCAAGAGAAACCATTAGTTCATGTTTTGTGTATTACCTGACATATGTCTAACGTTCTTCTAAGTCCACTTTGGTTGGCGGATCAGCATCTCAAAAGTTCAACAAACGGAGCTCTTGTGCAACTCAACAAGCTGATTCTGGACCACAGTAAGGCGACGATGGTTCTGGTTTTGGAACCTGAACAGTAAAATGTGAGTCTGAAGTTTTGAATTAATTTTTTTCTCTCTCTCTCTCTCATAAATTTTTAACATTTAAATACATTTATATTGATCATGCAAGCTCCTTTCTTAGAACTTCCAAGAGATAAAAAAAAAAAAGTCTGACGCTTAATTCAGTATAGACAATAAATACTCTGCATTTTTGGTGTCCTATAAAATTTTTTTCTTTTAGAGGATGTTTCTAGATTAGACTTGATTTTGTCTTCTTGTTTTTGTGTCTTTTTTTAAAACTGTTTCAATCAGAAGGGAACAGACTAATGTGATTCTTAGTTACATTGACGACATTATCCATAAATGGTTTCCCTCCCTGATTTTTACAGAATCTTTATTTTTTTTATTTGTGATAAAGATCATTCAGTGCGAAGATAAAGCACTCATCCCTAATAATAATAATGTAACTAAACATTTACACATGAAGGCTAATATAGCTACATCATGTTTCCCCCTAAATAAACTCTGCAGAAACCCAGTATGATGTCGCCTCCCCCAGTTCTTTCCCAGGAGGCCACCATGTCAATTTTTCAAGCGATATATAGTCTCTCTGCAGGCTTTTGAGACCACACAATTCCCATCTCTGGGAATTCCAGCTGGCTCTCATGGGGACCGAGCCTAGGAGGGCTCGGGCCCCGGAGCCGCGGCATGGTGCAGCGGCAGGAGTCCGCTATGACTTGGGGAGTAATTGGTTTATCCCACCGCCTGGCCTGCTTTCCCATGTGGGCCACTGCTGCGGGGAGGCCCAGGGGTACAATATGGAAACAGCATGACACCCTCCAGAGCCACGCCGGCATTCACCTCTGCAGCTATAGAGAGCCGGGAGAGAGTAGCAGGAGCACAAAGCTGCAGAAGACATGCCGTTTGGCTTTGAAAAGGTTGCTATTTGGTCTCTCTCTTTTTTTTAAGAAAAAAAAGTGGGAAACATTTGAGGTTGAAAGCGAGAAGTAATCAAATTTTGACTGAAATACTTTAAATAAATCTACAGCTGAAAGGAGTTTGTGTCGGAGAGATTTTTTGGAGGTCAGTTTGTAATTTATCATTCTTTGAAATATATTTACATATATTGTAATCTTGGATTAATAGACAGAGCAAAGGCTGAGCAGATTTTCAGCAGCTCTGAAGAGAAACATTGTGTTCTTGAAAAATTGTGACAAATCTTAAAGTGTATGTTTCTGACTTAAAGTATTTATTTAAGCTGGATTGGAGATGAAGGCAAGGTTGATAGAAATCAATACACCTTCAAGCAGGACAATGACCCTGAACATAGAATCTGAGCTTAAAGAAAACGCTTCAAATAAAATCATTTTGATTTAAAACCCGGTTGAGAATCTGTGGCGGGATTCTCTCAACTTGTCACAAGATGAAAAAATTTACGCTTTTCAAGAAAAACATACATTTATTTTACATTTACGTTCACAGAAACTCTCAATCCAGCTTTTCATAATGACTGATTAGGAATTTAACTACAACTTGACTTCCTTAGAATGGAGAGTAGTTGGCTAGAAACTGTCATTACACGCAGTATCCACAAGGTGGCAGCAGTTCACTCTAAAAAAAAACAAACAAACAAACAAAAAAAAAAACAGCTGTTGATTTGAACACATTGTGCAAATATCCGGAAAAAAAATGCATCTTCTTATTCAGAAAATAATAGCGGGAGAGACTTTTGGGCATCATAAGCATGAAAGAAGTAGCTACAGGTAAGATATGGAGCAAAAACCCAGATACTAACCCATTCATAGAAGTTGCTTAAGGTCACTATGATTTCTGCTCAGTTGTTCAAAACGATCACAAATAGAAGCTGCAAAATAAATCCGATGAGACACAAAAATCATTAAAAGAGACTTTAGACGCGCAACGAAGAGACTCCAAACAGCCCCAGCTGTAAAATTCCCAGCTGAGCCACCATTTTAGTCCTGTTTATGTGTTTTTCTATTATTATTAAACGGTGCGCAGATTGTAAGCAGATTTATTCAGCAAGAAGTCTGATTAGCAGTGACAACAAAGCAACAAAGTGAGACCAATGGCTCGTTCTTGCAGAGGTGTCACATGTCACCAGGGGGCCATGCGGCTTGCTTACAGTCGGGAAGTAGAGGCACTTCCTCCTTCCTACCTCTCCTTGTTCCGAAACCCCGTCTGTTGAAACAGATCTTTTCAATGGGGAGCCAGGGGCCTGTCAAAGCTCCGAAACACTGACTTCGTTTGAGGGAGGGGAGGTTAGACCCAAAGCGGCGGCGAATGTCAGCCGGATCGGTTCCGAAAGCCTCTCAGATTTAGTGCGTAAAACAAAAAGTGACCGGAGTGAAAATAACAATGGCTGCGACGTAGCGCAACTTTTGGATCCAGGGGTGGATGATCAAGAGTCGGACTCAGTCGGTGCTGCTGGTTGGTGACTTTTTTTTTTTTTTTCGGAACTAGAAGGAGACTTGAAGGAGGACTTTCAGCATGAAGAAGCAGTTCAATCGCATGAAGCAGCTGGCCAACCAGACTGTTGGAAGGTGAGTGTCGGATCTGGTGGCATATGCTGCGCTTTAAACTGGCAGACGGTTAATAATGTTAGATGTGGTTAGTTTGAGTCTTCTGTCTGCTAGTTGTTGTGGGCGGCGTCGGAAGGACTCGGACGTGATTTTAGGGAAGGAGAAAAGTTTGCATACTAGTTGAAAAACATGTTTTATGTAGTTTTGTTTGTCGTCGACAAGCCGTGTAAAACGGTTTAATAACTGGAGGCGTTTAACTCTGGGGAAAAAAAAAAAAGAAAAAAAAAATCCCCGAAAAAGTTAAAGTTGAACGCTTCCTCAAGGTTCGCATCTTATATTTTTATTCAGAATTTTACCCTTTTTGAATTTAGCTTATGTTTACTGCAAAACTGGAGGCAATCTTGCTGAATATTTTAGCTTGAACAGAATGACTAGGGGGCAGACCTAACCTAATCTAATGTACGCGGTATGTAACAGTGTTTCTGAATGGGACATGGGCGTCTCCAAAACCTTTTCCAATGGGCGACGCAATGGGGGCCAATAATAATCCTGTGGTGGCACACCCAGTTTTTTTTTTTTAAATGTATGCAGCTGTGGCAATAGGTCCAATTAAAAACAATTAGGCTGATATAAATAGTCTGTAGTAGTTTATAAGTTCATGTTTTTATGTACTCGTTTTCTCTTGTCCGTGACTTTAAAACTCAGCAACTCCGATTTGTTCTTTTTTTAAACCAAAAATATGTCAACCTGATATCATTAGAAGGTGAGGCCAGGAGTTGTTGACAGAGATTCAAGAAGAAAGTGACTGGGGGGGGGAGGAAGAATAAATAAATTAGTATTATCAAATCATTTATTTTTGTTTCTTTCTTAAATCCACTCATAATGCACAAATGTCTGACATGAAGGGTGGGCATGCTTTAACTCTGAATTATGACTCAAAGACATGAAAGACTTAATGTGGGCAGACGCGTTCATATTATTTCCACTTTTTTAAATGGATAATTTTATTTATATTAGAACAGTTATAATATTATATTCAATATACTATAAGAAAGTGATGTAGTTTATTTTTTGGCCTTTAATAAAATAACACTAAAAGCTTCACAATCAACTCCCTACAGTGTTAATATTACTAGGCTAAGGCTTAACTTTTTGATTTACCAGGATTAGTTCTGAGAACTTTTATATATATATATATATATGTCCCAGATGTAGATTTTGTACTCTCCTAGAGTGGAATTTCTTCAGATGTGGTTTAGGACTCATTTCCTGATGGCACAGCTGATTAGACTACCCAACCCAGGCCTCTGCCCTCTTCGCTGTCCCTATGGGGCGACCTCGCCTTGT